AATTTGAGAAATTATTTTTAAATCATTAATATTATATTATATTTATTTATTAATTTAGTTTTGAAATAATAATAAAAGATAATAAAGATGGAGAAATGGGATTTATCAATCACAAAGATCAGATAGATCCAAGTCTAGATCGAGGTTGATGTGACAACAGTGTGGACCACAACATACTTCACCGGTGCATGGACATACTGGACGCAGACGACAGGTGACCGGTCTTGGAACTGAGACGATTCCACAGTTTGGAATGTTGGAATACAGGCAACTTTTGATACGATCATAGCTATCTGTTGTGCAGGTGTTCCCATCGTTGCAAACGAGTGGTGTGAAAACACAGCCGATCGATGGATTGCAGCTGTCCGAGGTACAGGCATTACCATCGTCATAATTGATAGTGGAACCAACACATCCTCTCTTTGAATCACATTAATTCGAGATACATTGGTTGTCTAAGATTGACATGACACTGGTGAGTGTGTACAGTCACTTGCAGAGTTACAGCCATCGTTTGTACATTGATCGTTGTCATCGCAGGAGATTGGCGAACTAATGCAACCAGTGCCATTGCCGCAACTGTCATAGGTACATTCATTTCCATCGTTGCAATTCAATGGTGAATTAACACAGCCATGTTTGATGTTGCAGCTATCAGAGGTACACTCATTACCATCATCACGTGAAACTGGAGATTGAAGTGTGTACATCCACCATTGTTAGAGTTACATCCGTCATTTGTACATTGATTATTATCATCACAAGACACTGGCGAATGAGTGCAGCCACTTGCAGAGTTACAGGCATCGTTTGTACATTGGTCATTGTCGTCACAAGAGATTGGTATGTTTTCACAACCATTTTGTTCACAACTATCAGAGGTACATCGCACGAGATTGGACTATTTACACATCCATTGGAACCACAGATATCGGTTGTGCATGGGTTGGAATCATCACATGAAACTGGAGAGTGTACACATACTCTGATACGTTCTTCCCTTCACAGAGCACAGATCCAATCAACATTGAAATAAACAAGATAGTTATAATATTTTTAATATTCATTTATCTTTTTATCAATTAACTTTGATACTGATTTCACAATGTTAAATTATACTCATTCTTTAAACTCTAAACATAGATAATCAAACGAAATTATAATAAAATATCAAAAATAATTCTAAATTTTAATATTGAAATTGATTTAAAAAAGTGTTTGATAACCTTTTTGATTTTAAAAAAAAAAAAAAACAAAAAGATTAATAAAAATATTATTATTATTGATTTCTTTTTAGTCCTCGTCATCTCCAGGAACAAACCATCTATGATATGGATCGACAGAGATTATGAGGAATGAAAGAGATTGGGTGGACGGACAGAGGTTGTAGGCAATGACAGAGATTGGATGGACTGACAGAGGTTGTAGGCAATGACAGAGATTGGATGGACTGACAGAGGTTGTGGGAAATGACTTTGATTGGGTGGACGGACAGAGGTTGTAGGCAATGACATAGATTGGATGGACGGACAGAGGTTGTAGGCAATGACAGAGATTGGATGGACGTACAGAGGTTATAGGCAATGACAGAGATTGGATGGACGTACAGAGGTTGTAGGCAATGACAGAGATTGGATGGACGTACAGAGGTTGTGGGAAATGACTTTGATTGGGTGGACGGACAGAGGTTGTAGGCAATGACATAGATAGTGAGCAATGATAGAGATTAGGTGGACGGACAGAGGTTGTGGGTAATGACAGAGATTGGATGGACTGACAGAGGTTGTGGGAAATGACTTTGATTGGGTGGACGGACAGAGGTTGTAGACAATGACTTTGATTGGGTGGACGTACAGAGGTTGTAGGCAATGACATAGATTGGATGGACGGACAGAGGTTGTAGGCAATGACATAGATAGTGAGCAATGATAGAGATTAGGTGGACGGACAGAGGTTGTGGGTAATGACAGAGATGGTGAGCAATGACAGAGGATGGACGGACAGAGATTGTAGGCAATGACATAGATAGTGAGCAATGATAGAGGTTGGGTGGACGGACAGAGATGGTGAACAATGATAGAGGATGGATGGACGGACATAGATGGTGAACAATGATAGAGATTAGGTGGACGGACAGAGGTTGTGGGTAATGACAGAGATGGTGAGCAATGACAGAGGATGGACGGACAGAGATTGTAGGCAAACAGATAGTGACGAGAGGAAACCAGCATAGTGATGAGAGGAAACCAGCATAGTAACGAGAGGAAACCGACATAACTACGAGAGGCAACCGGCATAGTGACGAGAGGAAACCAGCATAGTGACGAGAGGCAACCGGCATATAAACGAGAGGAAACCGGCATAGTAACGAGAGGAAACCAGCATAGTGACGAGAGGAAACCAGCATAATGACGAGAGGCAACCGGCATAACTACGAGAGGCAAACGGCATAACTACGAAAGGAAACCAGCATAATGACGAGAGGAAACCGGCATAGTGACTATAGGCAACCAGCATAGTGACGAGAGGAAACCAGCATAGTGACGTGAGGCAAACGGCATAACTACGAGAGGAAAACGGCATAATGACGAGATGAAACCAGCATAGTGACGAGATGAAACCAGCATAGTGACGAGAGGAAACCAGCATAACCACGAGAGGAAACCGGCATAGAAACGAGAGACAACCGGCATAACTACTAGAGGAAACCAGCATAACCACGAGAGGAAACCGGCATAGTGACGAGAGGCAACTGGCATAGTGACGAGAGACAACCGGCATAGAAACGAGAGTCAACCGGCATAACGACTAGAGTCTACGAGTGGAAACCGGCATAACGACGAGAGGAAACCGACATAAGTAGGAGAAGAAACCGGCATGGTAATGAGAGGCAACTGGCATAACAACGAGAGGAAATCGGCATGGTAACGAGAGGCAACTGTCATAGCGACGAGGCATCACTCATAGTAAGGAGGCAACAGGCATGGTAAAAGGACTTGGAAAAGAAGAAAGAGATAAAAGGAGATAAACAAAGAGTTAGTAAAACAAAGATATAAATAAGTTAAAGTTATAATTAATAGTTATTGCTTACAAAATTATTTGTATTTGAAAAATAATGAAAAATGACATTGTGAATGAAATTATAGGTTTATATAGTTTTAAATTTGATTCGTTAACTTACAGTTTGAACTCAAAATTGGCGGTAACTGTTAAGCGCCAATTAAAAGTATGAATTAATATTCAAATTTGAAATATAAATATTAAAATTAATTAAATAATTCATTTTATTATAATATAATATTTAAAAATAAAAAAACAGGCGATCATTTCCAATGAAGAAACAACAAGCATAATTTTCAATTTTATTAATTTATTGAATTTGCAACACCCCACTTTTATTTGACAAGTTCATCTTTTTTTTTTTTTTTGCAAATAGGTAAAACAATATTTATAAAGTAATCATGAATACAATGCTTGTTTTTTAGAAATAAATTAATATTCTTTTTTATTATTAGTATTTTATCAATAAGTTAGGTTAATATCTGTCATTCTTACTTGACCAGCAGAAATAGCAAATGTCACTCCACTACCACAAATCCAGCAACATCATCATCATCAACATCAACTATATGAAACTGTAAAATATATAAACTATCTATTACGATTACCAACTGCAAAAACAGTGAGCACCTGAAACTTGTAGTTCAACCAAACATTCTTCTGATTGGTCTATACACTCGATGAATTCATCATTTGAGAGTTTGGATTCAACAAAATTACTATTTCAATAAAAATTTAAACTACTTCTATAATTATATTTGATTTTATTTTATCGATTGCTAAATCATTTAAACTCCTACACCTGACTAGAAATAGCGAAAAAAGTGTTATGCAGTCGCCACAATTTTTTTTTATACAAAAACAAAAAAATGGGTAAGCAAATGAGGTTGGGTTTGTAGATTTTTTTTTGTTTTTCTCTCTAGTTTTAATTGACTTTTAAAATTTGTCAAACTGATGGTAAGGGAGAAGTTGAGAGTGAAGTCTTTGGTACCTCAGTTATGGAGTTGATGGTAATAGAGAGTGGAGTTATCGGTATCTAAGTTATCTAGTAGATAGAAACTGTGACTTCCGGCTACTATGTACGGCAACTAAGTCAACTGAGTCAACTAACTCAGTCAGGTAACTGAGACCGGTAACTGAGTCAGGTAACTGAGTCAACTAACTCAGTCCGGAAACTGAGACCGGTAACTGACTCAGGTAACTCAGTCAGGTAACTCTGTCCGGTAACTAACTGAGTGGAATCAACTGAGTCCGGTAACTCATTCAGGTAACTCAGTCAACTTACTCAGTCCGGTAACTGAGTCAGGTAACTCAGTCCGGTAACTGAGTCAGGTAACTCAGTTCGGTAACTCAGTCCGGTAACTCAGTCCGGTAACTCAGTCCGGTAACTCAGTCCGGTAACTCAGTCTGGTCACTGAGTCAGGTAACTTAGTCCGGTAACTGAGTCAGGTAACTCAGTCAGGTAACTCAGTCAGGTAACTGAGTCAACTAAGTCATCAACTCAGTCCGGTAACTCAGTCGGGTCACTGAGTCAGGTAACTCAGTCCGGTAACTGAGTAAGGTAACTCAGTCAGGTAACTCAGACAGGTAACTAACTAAGTGAGGTAACTGAGTAAGGTAACTCAGTCAGGTAACTGAGTCAGGTAACTGTGTTAGGTAACTCAGTCCGGTAACTAACTAAGTCCGGTAACTCAGCAGGTAACTCAGTCCGGTAACTAACTAAGTCCGGTAACTTAGTCCGGTAACTAAGTCCGGTAACTCAGCAGGTAACTCAGTCCGGTAACTGAGTCTGGTAACTGACTCAGTCCGGTAACTCAGTCTGGTAACTGAGTGGAATCAACTTAGTCCGGTAACTAAGTCCTGTAACTCAGTCCGGTACAGAGTCCGGCAACTCAGTGGAATCAACTCAGTTAATAAAAGAAATAATTAAAAAGAATTTGAAAGTTATCAACATTATTTATTTAAAATTTGATCGAAATCAGTTAAGACGACGAATGAATCATTGGCAGAGAACAACAAGTCTGGTGAGAGAATGGTATCTGTCGTTTCCTCCACTACTAGCAGTATCATGTGTTGTTTGGTGATGTTGTGAAGATGATGAAGCTGAAGACGAAGAAATTCTAGGGTTGTTGTTTCATCGTCTGCGAAACTAAAGTGATTTATATTGTTATTGCTGGATTTATATTTCTAATAACATCGTCAAATGATATCTTTAACTACTACTAAATAATAATAATAAATAAATATTAGTATGTTGTTGTTGTTGTTGATCTGGTGGTCACGTAATACAGATATTTAAAATGTTGTAGATTGTATTGCATTTTTGTTTGTGTTTTTTTTATTTTATTTTTAAAACAAGTTACTTGTTAACTCTTATTTGTTATTTATATAAAAGTAAGCCAATCTATAGATTACCACTGCGAGTACTGTTTCAATTGCACGGTGTTGTTATTCTTTATATCTATTATAATAAATGCGATAAATAAATTAAAATTTGTTGGTGTGCAAATTAATTAGAAATATATATAAATATGAATAAATAAATTGATTGTTGCTTGAATTACTTTAATTAATTAATTATGTGTGTTTGACTTGACTTGAAAAAAAAAAAGTTAAAAAAAAAAAAAATACAAATAAATTGTTATTTCTTTTTATCTAAATATTGTTGGTGTGTTAATTAAAAATATATATAAATATGAATAAATAGATTGATTGTTGCTTGAATTACTTTAATTAATTAATTAATTGTGTGTGTTTGACATGACTTAAAAAAAAAAAAAAAGTGAAAAAAAGTGAAAAAAAAAAAAGTGAAAAAAAAAATTTTGAGTTGCGCTGTGGTGTGGTGAGTGTGAGTTTGAGTGTGGTGGGTGACGTGTGGGTGATCCAAGATCAAAGTTAACAACGATCGATCGAAAGCTGCAAAGATTAAAATTTAGACTCTCTCAGCCTCATGGATCGATAAGAAAATATTTTTTAATTTTAAACATATTTTACTATATAAAAAAAAAAAAAATTTTTTTAAATCTTATCGATCCATGAGTTTCCGGTGCCAACCACGTGGAGGTGGAGTCTACTGGCACCTAGAGACCCCGATGGATTTATTGCCACAAACCATCGGCAGCATCTTTAATTGTTGTTGTTCCTAATCGACAGCGGAGTTAGAAGCCGAAGCAAATAAAACAACTTCGAAGAGGCAACAAAGAAAGTGATAGCTGTGGCGTTGCCTTCTGTACAGAGAATGTCGCCTCCATCTGCTCTGTGTCGCCACACCCGAAGATGCGACAGACTAGCAGCGTATGTATCACCTGCTTTCAGACTATATGAAGCCGTAACATGTGTTGGAGGTTTCCCTACCCTTGACCCAGTGCCATGCATCCTGTAGATCAACACAGAGGTTACCATGTGCAAGACCACCTGCAAGCAAGTGCGCTCATCCTAACTTCGTCCGTCCACAGACAACCGCTCACAACAATCTCCCCAACTGGCGGGTCGGGTGTACAGGTCGCCAGGTTTCTCTAATAACTAGGCTCTCATCAGTGGGTTCACTGATCGAGACATGCCGTCACGCTTGATAAGAGAGGCAAGGATCACAAGCAATGACACCCAGTTATCCCAGACCCTGGAAAGAAAAAAAAAAGGACGAACCCATTGAAATGGATCACTTGGAATAGCTTGATTGTAATATTGGAAAATAGAATAAAAAAACAATGTAGTCAGTTGTTAGTATTAAGCAATGATAGAAACAAATAATAAATAAATAAATAAAAAACGAATACAAGAATAATTGAAATTAAATATAAATAAAATGAATATATTTATAAAATTAATTTATAATTATATTTATTTTTTTATATTTAATTTCAATTTTAATTGTATTCGTTTATAAATTATTTAATAGACCTACAAAAAAAAACCTAGAGCTTCGTTAACCAGAATTTCACTTTACATTATTTAAATATAGTACAAATATGATATTAATAAATAAACAACATTGAAAATAAATAATAAAAAATAAATTAATAATAATATATTACCTTTTCAACGATCCTTCGGCCGTGCCCACCCTGCCGCCCATGCAACGACCAGTACCACCACCATATAGCCAAGACCATGACCAAAGAAACCAGACTCTTTTAAAATTGATCTACTTTTTTACATATAATACAAATATAATATTAATAAATAAACAACATTGAAAATAAATAAATAAATAAATATAAATAAATTAATAATAACATATTACCTGTACAACGATCCTTCGATCGTGCCCACCCTGCCACCCATGCAACGACCAGTACCACCACCATATAGTCAAGAACATGACCAAAGAAACCAGACTCTTTTAAGATTGATCTACTATTGTATAAATAATATACAAATATGATATTAATATATAAAGAAAATTGTAAATAAATAAATAATAAAAAATAATAATAAATAAATAAATAATATATTACCTGTACAACGATCCTTCGATCGTGCCCACCCTGCCACCCATGCATCGACCAGTACCAGCACCAGAACCACCAAACCCAGAACCTAGAATCTAGACATCTCTACAATTGATTACCTTGCCCACCCATCCTCCCAAAGTTCAAGAGACGACTAGCAATTACCATTCCAATAATACAGACCACTCCATCCTGTTATTATTATTATTATTATTTACTTTTTATTGCTTGGTATTCTAAATTGATATGTATTATTATTTGGTATTGTTTTGTTTTTGATATTGTTAATAATGTTTAAAATGTAATTGGCAGTGTTGTCAATGTTGTAGTTGATATTGATGATTTTGTTGTTGTTGTTCTCTTTCCAACTAGTTGGTCTTCTAAATTGGAAGGTGTTGTGGTTTGGTTTTGATTTATTATTTATTTTTTTTATATAGTTTTGAATGTAATATTTAATGTTATTAATGTAATCAATGTTGGCAATTACATTGTTGTTATTATTATTGTATTCTATTTTAATTTGATTTGTTGGAATTCTAAATTGATAAGTTGATTGATTTCCTGTTGATTTAGGGTTATTATTGTTTTTGTTTCTCGAATTAAAATTGTCATTTTCGTTCTGATTGTTGTTGTTGTTGTTGTTTTTATTATCTTTTTTATTATTAATTGTGGGTTGTTTAAATTGATATGTGTTTTTGTTGCTTTCTTTTTGACTAACTGTTTTTTGTTGCTGTTTTCCTTGTTGAATTTGTTGTTGCTGTTGCTGTTGTTGCTGTTGCTGCTGTTGTTGCTGTTGCTGTTGCTGTTGTTGTTGTTGCTGTTGCTGTTGCTGTTGCTGTTGCTGTTGCTGTTGCTGTTGCTGTTGCTGTTGCTGTTGTTGTTGCTGTTGCTGTTGCTGTTGCTGTTGTTTTTGCTGTTGCTGTTGTTGTTGCTGTTGCTGTTGCTGTTGTTGCTGTTGTTGCTTTTGTTCTCTTCTTATTCTTGATCTTTCTTTGGAAAAGTACAAAAGGAACAGATTTCGATCTGACTCATCTCTAATCTGCAGTTTCTTTTGGTTGTAAACTGTTACCAAATCCAGTGATAAACTTGTGACTGGAAAGCTTTGGATAACTTCCTCCAGCGACTTATAACTAACTATATTATTATCTTGTTGTTGTTGTTGTTGTTTGGGTTGCTGCTGTTTATCTTCAAATTCCTTCATTACTCGTACGAATTCATGGATAAAGTAATATGAGAAACTCATTCGATCTTCTTCAACTTCGAGCTCAGCTTTCTTTTCGAAATAAATACCAACTAATTCCCACGAATAGCTGGTAATTGGAAAATTATCTATTTGATATTTAAGTTGTTGTGATATAGGCATGATTTATTTAATATATAAAAGTAATGAAATATATTTAAGAGTGTGTATGTTAATTATGATTTAAAAACGATCCAAAGGCTAATATCTAAATTTATAATATCTATTTATGTATATAAGTAATTTATTTCTTATTTTAAATGAACAGAGTAAATGAGAAATCAACTATCTCTTTATTATTATCAACTATCACAATCTAAAACTATATTTGATTGAAATTTGAAAGAAATAAGTTAGTTTTGATCAATATTTTCTTGAAAATATTGTGATATTAATAAATCTTACTTAAAAATACAAATTAATATGAATATTGCTTAAATTGAAAAGTAAAATTTCGATATTAATAGTATTTACAAATTATATTAATAGAATATAAATATTTAAATTAGATTTAAAAAATACTCAATAAAAATAAGAAACCGCCAAATTTTGAACATTTTATCCGATACTCTCTCTAGTATACACCACTAAATTTAAATATATAGATGTCTTAATTTAAATTTAAAATTTTTAAAATTGTTTGGCTGATGTTTTTTGATTAAAAACAAGGGAATTTCCCACTAGGCAGAAAAAAAAAAAAAGATTTTTAATTTAAAATTTATTTATACAATTGTTATCATATTCTCAATTTAATATTTCTTCAATTATTTTAATCAAAAAAAAAAAAATTGAAATTGCAAAAAAAATAAAGATGAACTTGTCAAATAAAAGTGGGGTGTTGCAAATTCAATAAATTAATAAAATTGAAAATTATGCTTGTTGTTTCTTCATTGGAAATGATCGCCTGTTTTTTTATTTTTAAATATTATATTATAATAAAATGAATTATTTAATTAATTTTAATATTTATATTTCAAATTTGAATATTAATTCATACTTTTAATTGGCGCTTAACAGTTACCGCCAATTTTGAGTTCAAACTGTAAGTTAACGAATCAAATTTAAAACTATATAAACCTATAATTTCATTCACAATGTCATTTTTCATTATTTTTCAAATACAAATAATTTTG